AACAAAACTGTAATAGTCTAACACCATTTATCTTGTGGTACCAGGCTGTCAAACTGACATTAGCTTCAAAACTGAAGCCTTCTCAYATACTCTGAGATTATCAAACACAGTTTTAAGGACAAAATATTGAAGTAGAAACATTTATGCCTAATCTGGCTACATTTTTATCAGAAATATGAGGAATGCCCWTAGTATCTCTTAAGCTTCAAAAGCATCACACTCTAAACACAARTCATTACTAGTCCTCAATGTCATATATATAACTAATTTTAAGRATCTATACTTAATATTAATACTACTAATTWTGATTTTATAATATACTCAGCAATATTTCTCAGAACATCAATACAGAATAGGGGAACTAATTCACTGATTTTAATGGCAAAATGTAATTGGAAAGAGTCCAAAGTGTGCAGCTCTAAACTTCTGAAAGAATCTGTGAAGTCTTGTTGCTTCTACATAATATTACATATAAGAAAACCACAGAGCACCAAAACTTTAATGCATATGATTATATATTCTAGAAGTAGCTATAATGAGGAATTTATAATATACACAAAAAACACGGTAAGAGAACATTAGGACTATAAAATTAAACACTCAGGCATGAGGTATGACAAAATTAAAGTAGCTTTTACATGACAAAGGAATTTTGTGGCAACAGTAGGGATAGAGAATTCAATCCTTCAGGGCAGCACAMAGATGCATTAACCCTGAGTCTCCTTTCTCTTCTGTGATTTTGCATTTCACATCTTTGAACTCCTACAACAAATAAACAGTGTAATGTCTGACAAAGAGTTTCAAATTATCACAGGGACTTTCTTAACTGAGTTAAGAAAATAACCAACTACACTAGTAAGTTCCTTTCCCCAGGTGGACCACTCACAGAAGTGAATGATGTACCTTCCTAAAGGATAGAGCCAAATTTGCTTGTGCCGGAATTATAGAGAGACACYGGAATCTTTCATTTCAGATTCTGCTAAGGGGCTGAAAAAGTGCTTCAAACACATCTTTTTATTCTGAAAGACTACTAAATCCAAAATAATACTACCAATACTACTAACAATAATTCAGTATAAGATGAGACTAACAGCTGAATGTTTTGGCCACTATCTGTACTCAACACACTTTTTTTCTCCTTTACAGATAAAGCTACTGTAAAACAGCTACTGTTGTCCCAACAGCCTGGTGAGTCCGCTGGTCTTGTGCCACCCCTTCAGTATTGAACCAGTTCATTAACACTGAAAGGTTTAAAAATACTTCACAAAGTAAATAAACAGAAAGTAAGAAYGGCAGGAACAACTACTACTGACTTCACTATGCAACTACCTACCAATACCACCACTCCTCAGAAACATTTCTATGTCTGCTTTCTCATTTGGCCTTTACTGTTTCCAKCATACATATGGAAGCTAGTACTTTAAAAAACCTGAAACACTACAATGAACGTTCCTTTACTTCAGAGATCTACCAAAGTCTTTCCCTCAAGAAAAATTAACTCATTATAATGTGATGAAAAGGCACCTTAACTGTAATTCTACTTCTTCTGAATTACATTTTGTATTAAGAACTGTATTAGGTACTGATTTTCTGCTCTAAGAGGAGAACTATCCATAGTCTTCATCTCTAAAACTAAGCTGAAGCCATGAGGCATTGATAGCAAATTATATGTATCTCCTGAAGAAAAGCATTGCTAAAAAAGGAGCTSCTTTCAAATGAGGAAATTACCTAGTGAAGAAAACTGCTTTTGATTCACAATTATTTTCAACACAAGTTTTGGTTTTTTTTTTTTTAATAAAAAATTCACAATTTTTCAAGTTGACAAAAACATTTCATGCAAAGAACATGTGGAGAACATGGGGGGCAATACCTCTACTACTAGTTTACATATCCACTTTTTTGCAGAAACTTAAAATGGAGTGGGGGAAGCAAAAGCTAAAAGCTCTTAAAAGCAGCAATTTCTTTTCCAAGACCAATCCAACCATGAAGAGTCATGACTTCTGTGAAATTCTATACTAAGAAGTTAATTAACCAACACTACAAATTAAAGTAATTGCTCTGTTTGTACTACGAAATTTGAAAACTGAGTGGTAAAGTTAGCTGTAGCAGAGGTTTTGGGGCCCTTAGAAGAACATTAGTAATGAAAATGCTCTGCTTTCCTCACATTCTTTTATTTTGCCTRAATGTGCTAAGCTTTTCCATGTAAGAACATGAAGCGGAAGAAATAAAAAACAAGACAAGGCTGAATGGCACCTTAAACGATTAAATATCAACCCGGAAGTTTGGGGGTTTTTTCCCTGTTTGAATTGTTTGTTAACAAGCAGTAACCCTTCCCCTACCAACAAAAATCTCAGACAAGTTCCATATTTTACAAAAAAAAACCTAAACCAAACATACATGTCTGGTAATCTGAAAGCAGTRTCTGTAACAAGTTTGAGGAAGTATCTTAAGTGGATACACATGAAAACTAATAGTTTAATTTATGAAGAATTAAAAAGCAGAATTACTTGTCAAGTAGAATCCCACTATTACAAAAATCAAATGCTGTTCAATTTCACATAACAGGCCCAAACCCCCCAGATATTTATAAACGAAGTCAATATCATTTCTGTCAAACTGAACATTGTGAAACAACTGCAACTGCTCAWACTGAACTTTGCCAGGACTACCACAGTCGAGGTGTATTTCTCAAGTACTTCTTTCACTAGGGTATTTGCTTAAACAATCCTCTTGCCTCCTGACACACCTGTTGCCCAGAGAAATTATACAGGTTAAATATAACCGCATTAGAAGGAAGAAAAAAACAACAAAACCAAGGTAGTTAATTTTAACCTGGATCATTTCCTCAAGCTAGTTACCGGACATAATTCCACGAACTGTTGTGCTGGTGCAGCTGGAGCAAGGAAGAGGCAGGCCAAGTCAAGTCAATACTGCCACCAAAAGCACTGCTTGTCAACCAAAGTCATTTTAGAAAAAATACTTTAAGGATTTACAGAACCAGGGTCTATGATCAGCTACTCTGCCTCTACATGCCATTTCATGTTCCARCCAAAACCATAACTGACTTTTCCTGTGCTTCTTGGTAGGGAAGCTCTTACCAAGACATGAAAACAACGGCCTTACAAAAATCACACTGCAAATATATTTGATTACTTCACAAACACTCTTCCTCACGAAAAAAAAAAATTACCAATTTATATCGAGGCCTAAAGCAGCTGGAATTTGAAAGTGAAACCAACTAAAAGACCTGATCCACCTTAACCCAAACATAAAACTGAAGTACCACGGATTTCCAGTTCCTCGCTAGTCCTATTTCACACCTGCACGAACGGAGTATTTGGCACACTGACTTCAAGGCCGCAGTAACTCGAGAAAGGGATTCTCAGTAGCCCCTGGTCCTGAGGTTTTACGAGCGTGAACACACCGCAG